AGCAGCTGATGGACACGACTCCGCTGAAGAGAACGTGGTAGCTGATCACGACAAAGCGCACGACCAGCTTGACATCAAAATACGACGTTAAAGTAAAACTCCCCATTAGATGCACATACATCGCCAGCATGAAGACCAGCACTGCGAAATCACGAAACCCAATCCACTGCATCATCTGCTTGAGGCAAAATGTCGGGTCCACGCCTCCGACGCCAGGCGCAAGGGCAAGCCCCAGAACTTTAAGGCTATGCCACCCGACGTCATGGGAGGGACACGCCGACAAAGCCTCAGTATACACAACTATGCCCAGGACGAATGAATTAAGCCGAACCTGAACTTGCACCAGGTGCCGCACCGTCCTGGCCGACACGGCGCTTCTTGGCATAGTTCTCGGCAGCGGCGATCCACCTTTTGGCGGCGGCTCTGATCTGGTCCTCCTCCTCTGGCGGTTCACTGCCTGTGATGTCACGATAATATGCTTTGAGCTCCTCGATGTCGTCTGTGTCCATGGGAACTGCCGTCGTGTCTGCCGCACGCACCTCCTCGGTCGACGGCATGTCGGCCCTGGGTGGTGCAGATGGTGGCGCAGCATGCGGCTTGGCCTCGGCCTTCGTCTTAAGCTCACGGAGGGCTGCGAAGGACTTCTCGACGACACCTTTGAAGGTTTCATCAGCTCCAACTCCCGTGAGGAGCTCTCCCAACTGCTGGACCGACAAGTCGAGGGCGGGCACCATCGTGGTGAGATTGGACTGGCCAGGGACGGGGACAGGACCTTTCGCGGCGACGGCATGTCGCTGCGCTTCCAAATCCATCCTCTCCGTGGCCAGCTCACTGGCCAGCTTCTCAGCTTGGGCAAGCTGGGCAGCAATGTCGGCTTGCTGCTCCTGGAGGCTAGCGATAGTCTTCTGCTGCTTGGCCTCTTGGAGCTGAATGGCTTCAATGCGAGTCGTTCAATGCTGCACCTGGGCCGCGTATGGCTTGCTGGAAACCAACTTGGACTTGATCGCATCCCTCTCCGCGATGAGGTCGCTCTTGGCCTTGATGAGGATGGCCTCCGACGGCGTGCCAAGCTGCCGTAGTGAGGCGGCGATCTCGTTGAGGCGCTTGTGCTCAGGGTCGGTGGCCGACTCGGCCTCTGGCAACAGGGCTGAGCCACCTGTCGCCTCCTTGAGCTTGTTGTCCTGCAAGGCTTGCTTGAGGCGCAGAATCTCGGCGTCCTTGTCCCGCAGCACTTGCTGGGAGACCGCGAGCTGACCTTTGCCTGCACCCTTGGTCTGCGACAGGCTGATGCTGGGGGCCTTGGGCAGCTTGTGTCCGCCGAACGCTGGCCCCTTCGCAGTGTGACACTGCGTGCAAGCTTGCTTGTCACCTCCATTCCACCAGCGCTCCGCCGAACGCGGGTGAAGGCACCAGCGGCAGTACCACGGGCCGGCGGCCCACGCCCTGCGCGTGCTTTGGAGCAGAAGATCCATTGGCCATCACACACGTGTGAGCGCAAGGGAAGCGAGCTGGGGACGTTCGGTCCCGAGTGTGCCTGTGAGTGAGTACGTACGCGGTGTCTCCAGCCTGGGCAGGCGCTGGTGGAGACACGAGAGCGGTGAGGGCCGCAGGTTCCCTCTTGCCAGAAAGTCAAGTCCTGAGCGAAACGCTACGGACTTGAGCCAAAATGGCTACGGAAGAGGAGGAGGAGGAGGAGGAGGAGGAGGAGGAGGGGGAGGAGGAGGAGGAGGAGGAGGAGAAGGAGGAGAGGAGGAGGAGAAGGACGAGGAGGAGGAGGAGGAGGAGGAGGAGGAGGAGATGGACGAGGAGGAGGAGGAGGAGGAGGAGGAGGAGGAGGGGGCGGGGGCTCGCGCCCCTCCGCGCGTCACTCTTCCCCCCGTGAGCCGGTGCCCCCCGAGAGGAGCCCGGAGGCCCGCCGCCGTGCCGTCTGGCACGTCGAGGCTAGAAGAAAAAAAACAAAAATGCACAAACACAAACTTCTGAGGAAACTTTTGAAGAAACTCAAACAAAAACACAAAAATACATAAAACACACAAAATCAAAGGAAGAAACTTTTGACGCTCCGCGCGGACTTCTTGGATCTACGCCGGACCCCCCATCCCTGGCCCGCGGAGCGCGCCAGGGGCGGCTCCGAAGGCGCCGCGGGGGAGCCCCAGCGCAGATCCAAGAAATCCGCGCGGAGCACCAGCAGTTTATGTGTCTAGTGGCAGAATGCCAAGTGCTGTCTCGGGCGGGCGCTAATGGGGGGTGGCCCAAAGGGGGGGGGTGAAGAAAAGGGCCCCAAAGGTGCCCTTTTGGGCCCCTCTAGGGCCCAAAAGGTGCCCTTCAGGGCCCCCGTTGGAGCCAGCAGGGGCCCAAAAGGTGCCCCAAAGGGCCCCTTTAGGGCCCTTTTCTTCACCCCCCATTTGAGTCACCCCCCATTGCCCGGTTTCCCCCGGGGCCGTAGGCAACCCGAGGACGAGGAGGAGGAGGAGGCGGAGGAGGAGGAGGAGGAGGAGGAGGAGGAGGTTGGAGGAGGAGGAGGAGGAGGAGGAGGAGAGGAGAGGAGAGAGAAGGAGGAGGAGGAGGAAGAGGAGGAGGAGAGAGGAGGGGAGGACGGGTCGCCTAAGCCCTTCGGAGAAACCCTCCAAGTCACCTCCCATGAGCGCCCGCCCAACTGTCTGGCAGGGTGTCTGCTGGTCTCCTCCGGGGTCGGCCAAGAGGGGGGCGTCCAAGAGGGGGGGGCGCAAATCACGGCCGGCGGCACGCGCGCGGCCCCGGGGGGGGGGGCCAGGGACGCAAGGAAACACGACGAGGCGCCATGAAATCTGGGGAGGCATCACGGCCCCCGCCACGGCCAGTCCATCACCCCCCTCTTGGCCGCCCCCGGCTCCTCCGGACTCCCCCTCCCCCCCCCCCTTCCCTCCCGACACGCGCCCGTGGGCGGCCCGCCGCCTCCCTTGGGGGGGCTCTCTCTCTCTCTCTCTCTCTTTCTCTCTGTCCCCGGCCTTCCAGGCCTGCCTCGGCGGTGGGCCCCAGGGGGGGAGGGGGAAGCGGGAAGAGGCGGGCCTTCTCGGGCGGGTGCCAAGAGGAGGGGGAGGAGGAGGACGAAGAGGAGGAGGAGGAGGCGGAGGAGGCGGAGGAGGAGGAGGAGGAGGAGGAGGAGGAGAAGGACGACGAGGGGAGGAGGAGCCAGCCGGACTGGAGCCTCCATCGGTGACTGACCCAGTGGGGGGTGTGAGGAAAGCGGCCCCGAAGGGGCACGTCACGGCCCCTTCGGGGCACCCGCTGGCTCCCAAAAGGGGGCGCTCGAGTGGCCCTTCAGAGCCGTTCTCTTCCCCCCCATGTGGGTCACCCCCCATGACCCCCCGCCCAACCTCCTCAGAGAGGCCCGCAATTCTTCCAGCCGTCTGAAAGTTTTGTGAGCCCTTCCCGAAGGCACAGAGAAGCCTCTCAGAAGGCAGGAGAAGCCTCTCAGAAGGCAGGAGGCCTTCTCAGAGGCCCCGCCGTCTTCTAAGAAGGCCTTCTCCGTTTAACTTCCCCCCCTCGCTCGCCGCCGACTCGTCAAGTAGCCCCTGAGGAGCGCCCCAACAGGTCCACAGAGGCCTCCACACGAGGCTCCAAGACACCCCCGAGACGCTCCCCAGAAAGGGACCAAGGTCTGTCAGTGTTGCTCGCGTTCCGCGCTCTTCGGCCGGAGGTCGGACCGCTTGCCCTCTTCGCGGGCCCTCTTGGCCTCGCCGTGGCGAATCGTGCCATTACCAGCCCCTTCCCCTTCCCCCCCCCCATACCGCCAGTCATCGCCAGAAACACAAAATATACCTTGCAAAGGGGCGACCAACATGTAAGCCTGAGTATCGCAAGGCTTCGAAGCGTGCGAAGGATGTGCCAACACTCTGCGCAGCGTCGACACACGAACTTTCCCACTGGTGCCTTCGGTGGTGCTCTCTCTGGGGCCACGAAACGTGTGAGGGGTGTGCCAAAGTGGGCGCAGCGACACGGCATGCGACTTTCCCTCTGGTGCCTTCAGTGGCGCTCCCCCTGAGGCCACGAAACGTGTGAAGGGTGTGCCGAAATGGGCGCGGCGACGCGGCATGCGAGCTTTCCAACTGGTACCTGCGGTGGGGCTCCCTATGGGGGCACGAACCGTGTGAAGGGTGTGCCGAAATGGGCGCGGCGACGCCATACGAACGTTCCCGCTGGTGCCTTCGGTGGGGCCCCATGGGGCCACGAAACGATTGAGAGGAGTGCCGAAACGGGCGCAGCGACGCCATGCAAAGTGTCCCGCTGGTGTCCTCGGCGGGGCTCCATCTGGGGCAACGAAGCGTGTGAGGGGTGTGCCGAAATGGCCGCGGCGACTCCATGCGAAAGTTCCCGCTAGTGCCTTCGGTGGGGCTCCCTGTGGGGCCAGGAACGTGTGAGGGGTGTGCCGAAACGGGCGAGGCGACGTTATGCAAACTGTCCCACTAGTGCCTTCAGTGGGGCCCCTTATGGGGCCACGAAACGTGTGAGGGGTGTGCCCAGATGGGCGCGGCGACCCCATGCGAACTTTACCACTAGCACACTGGTGCCTTCGGCGGGGCTCCCTATGGGGCCACGAAACGTGTGAGAGGTGTGCCGAAGTGGGCACCACGACGCCATGCGAACTTTCCCGCTGGTGCCTCCGGTGGGGCTCCAGAGTCACGAGACATGTGAGGGGGTTGTCGAAATGAGCACGGCGACGCCATGCGAACTTTCCCACTGGTGCCTTCGGTGGGGCTCCCTGTGGGGCCACGAAGCGGGTAAGAGGTGTGCCAAAATGAGCGCGGCGACGCCATGCGAACGTTCCCTGTTGTGCCGTCGGTGGGGCTCCCTACGGGGCACGAACCGTGTGAGGGGTGTGCCAAAACGGGCGCGGCGACGCAATGCGAACTTTCCCTGTTGTGCCGTCGGTGGCGCCCCTCCGGGGCCACGAAACGTGTGTGAGGGGTGTGCCGAAACGGGCGCGGCGACGCCTCGCGCAGACTCCCGGGCCGCCGAGCCTTGTAGCTGTCCTCCTTGCCCGCGAGGTGCACGCGGGAGCCGCCGCCTCCCGCGGGGCGGGTCTCGGGAGGGTGGGAGTGAGGGGCAGGGAGAGGGAGAGAGGGGGAGAGAGAGGGAGAGAGAGTGGGAGGCGAGGAGAGGGAGAGAGGGGGAGAGAGAGGGGGAGAGGGAGAGACAGAGAGACAGAGAGACACAAAGAGCGACACACAACTAACACACACACACACACACATTGGGCACACAGCAACAAACAACACGCGATGTATGCGTAAGTAATCCGCACGCATGCTCCATCTATATACACATGTGTATATATATATGTGTATATATATATATGTGTGTGTATGTGCAGCTGCATCGACAAACATATGCGCACACATACACACACAAGTATATGTATCGATATAGGCATGTATTGATACGCATACCGAATGAGACACTGGCGCATACACCTGTATAGTCATACAAGTAAGAAGTATGTATGTGGTATAACCATGTATACATATGTGTATACGCAGATGCGTGTGCGAAAAAGGTGTGTTAACAGATGCCTATACACGTCTAGAAATACGCATATGTACATATATGTGTGAGCATCGGCGCGTAGCTATGATATGGAGTATGCAGACGACTATGTGCTTATATGTGCGTGGCCATCGGCCCATCCTGACAGCGTGTCTTGGCCAGGGGCGTCTCAAATACATGTTGGGGTCTCTTGGGATGTTCCCAGGGGGGCTCTTGGGGTACCTCCCTCTTGGATGTAGCGTGGGAACCTCTTGGGGCATCTTGGGGGGCCTCTTGCCGGCCTCTTGGGCGCCTTTTGGATGCATATTGGGGACCTCTTGGGGGCGTCCTGAGGCTGCTTAGGGAGCCCTTGGGACCTCTTGGGGGCTTCTTGGCGGTCTCGGGGCTATTTTGGCCCCAGGGCTCCTCCGCTTCCCCCTTCGTGGGTCTCTCTTGAGCGGCCTTGAAGGGCCAGTCGGGCTGTCTTGGCGGCCCTCTGAAGCCGTCTTGGGGTCCCTTTGGGCAGTCTTGCGACCTTCTTGGCGACGTCTTTAATGGTTCGAGATGCCTCTCGGGCCGTGTTAGGCGGTCGAAACTCAGAAAAAGGTGACAACTTCAAAAGCCTTCAAAAACCCACGAGAAATCCCACCAGCCCTCTGGGCGGAGGTGGTCTAGAGCGTTTCCGTTTCCAACCTCCCTTCTATACCTCCCCCCCCTCGTTGGGTCTGGACGGCGGGGTACCGAAGGGTTAGAGGGTCCTTTTTGGCCCAAGATGGTTCCAAGAGGGCCTCAGAGAGCGCAAGATGGCCCCCAAGATGGCCCAAGAGAGCTCAAGACGGCTCAAGATAGCCTCCGACACACATCCAAGAGGTCTCAAGGCTGCCCCAAGACGGATCCAACTGCCTTTCGAGCCTTCAACGGCACCCTCCAAGATGCCAAAATCCTGCAAAAGCCTGGGGGAAATCAATGTTTCAGGCATTTTCGCCGTTTCGCTTCCGATGAGCTTTGGAAGCCTCAATATGGCACCACGATGGCCCAAAAAGACCCCAAGAAGGGCCCAAAAAGGCCCAACACGGCTCCAAGATCGCCCAAGAGGCGCCCAAGAGCGCTCCAAGACGGCCCCAAGACGCCGTACCTCTTCTTTTTGAGCCATGGGACCCAAGATGGCCCCAAGAGGCCTCCCAGCCTCTCCCAAAGACCCTCCACCCCACCCTTTTTGGCCCAAGATGGTTCCAAGAGAGCCCTTATATAGCCCAAGCTGGCCTTCAAAACGGCCTAAGATAGCCAAGCATGGCTCAAGATAGCCTCCGACAGGCCTCCACACATCAGGTGTAAAGTACACATCAGTGCAAGAGCTAAAATCAAAGATGTCCATCGGGGAAACCCTAATCTGCGCACAACACTGATGTCGGATCGTACATACAGCAACCTGCGCCAGAGACACTTCCCACAGAGAACACCATGGCGCATCCTGCACCGATTTCTGTCCTAAACTTCACTGCGCCGAACTATTTGTGATCCTCGATTTCTGGCCCAGGGTACTGCCCACCCTGTAATTACGTTTCCGAAACAGCTGTGCGACCGCGTGCTTCCAGGCGTCCCTGGCGAACCAACTCACCTCGTAATCATTCCTGGATGGGCGGGTGGGGATATTTTTTGACCTGCGGCCCAAAGGACGGCTCCAGAGGGCGGGTCAATTTCGACAGGGGCGCAAAGCGAGACGATTGGCAACGAAGGCACATAGGCCAACGCCGCAATGCACGTGCGAGGGACAAACTGAACCTCATTAGAGCAGACAGGAAAGCCGGCGGAGGGTCGCACAGTGGCGCCAGCCACCACAGACCAAGCCTGCGTAGAAACAGTGTGCGGGCAGCACAGAGCCCCAGGTGAGCACCGCCAAACGCGGCGAGGAGGAGCAGAGGGGGGGACAAGCGCGGGCGGCGACGAGGGGAGGGGGGGGAGGCAACAAGGAAAAGCCGGCGGAGGGTCGCACGGTGGTGCCAGCCACCACAGACCAAGCCGGAAGGCGGGAACAAGGTGCGGGCAGACTGGAAAAGACGGCGGAAGGACGCACTGTGGCGCCAACCTCCACAGACCAAGCCTGCGGATGGCGGGAACAATGTGCGGGCAGCACAGAGCCCCAGGAGAGGCACCGCCAAACGCGGCGAGAAGGAGCAGACGGGGGAAGGCGCGGGCGGCGACGAGGGAGGGGGGGGAGAAAACAAGGCCCCACTCAGAAACCTCACGTGCTCGAAGCCAGGTGCGTCAACGAAGCCGGGCGTCGGCAGCCAAGTCGTTGGAGCCCCAGCTTGCACCTTCCTTGCCACGGTGGGTGGGGGAACGCTGCGAAGTACCACGCCAGAAACACCTGGCGAGGGACCTGCGGACCTGCCGTGGGAGAACCGCTGGGCTGGCGTGAACCACGTGCGCCGCTCACCGTGGAAAGAGGCGTGAAGCGTAGCCAAGTGAGGGCTCAGACCTGCCAGAGGATGGACCACTTGTAGAGGAACCCAATCACCTCAGGCCCGCCCGTCGCGGCCAGCGGGGATTTCATCCGGCTGCGGGTAAAGGTGTGCCCACCTCGGAGCGAGCACGTGTGCGTGGCCACGATGGGGGGAAGCCGAGTGGCGTGGTACACCACCGCGACGTGCGTGGAGGAGGGGGGGAGAGGGGCAAGGCGGGGAGAAGGGCAAGGCCGATTGGCCAGGTGGCGGCAAGAGGCTGCTGAGGACCCAACACAGGTTGCAAGTGTGTTGCACACGGGGGGGAAAGAGCCCGCCAGGTGGGGGGGGAACGACACCACCTGTCCGGGGCCACCGTGGGTAGTGGTGTGGTAAAGTGCGGAACGACTGGTGGAGCACCTGGGGTGGGCCTTTGGCCGCCAATCCCAGTCCTCCAAAGTGAATGCCCAATCGGACAAAGACGGGCCATTGTCCGGCGAGAACAAGGCCAAAGGGAACCGTGGGAGTGGATTATTTCAGCCGGCCCCGCACGGACTATGAAGCCCACGAACAAGCTGGGAGTCTAAACGCAGTGTGGTGGTATAGGTGCACCTCAGCCCAAAGAGGTGGCACAGGGGTGTGAAGGCCTCGGCCTGTCACTGCGGTGAAACTAGTCCCCGTCGTGAAGGGACCACCCACGACAGCGGCAGCCCGTGGGGGGCTGCCGTCCGTGCGGTCTTTATTCCTCACCGTCGTCAGAGTCCCAGCTTGCACCTTCCTTGCCACGGTGGATTGGGGAACGCTGCAAGGTACCACGTCAGAACCACCTGGCGAGGGACCTGCGGACCTGCCGTGTGAGAACTGCTGGGCTGTCGTGGACCACGCGCACCGTACACTGCGGAAGGGATGTAGGCGTGATGCGTAGCCAGGTGAGGGCTCAGACCTGCCAAAAGATGGGCCATTTGCACAGGAACGCAGTCAACTCAGGCCCTCTCGTCGCAGCTAGCGGGTGATCGCATCCGGCCGCGGGGAGAGGTGTGACCACCTCGGAGCGTGCACGTGCGCGTTGCCACGATGGGGGGAAGCCGAGTGGCGTGGTACACCACCGCGGCGTGCGTGGAGGAGGGGGGAGGCGCATCCGATAGCCGCAAATCAGGTGAATTGGAGGAGGGGAGAGGGGCAAGGCCGGTGGGCCAGGTGGCGGCAGAGGCTGCAGAGGACCCAACACAGGTTGCAAGTGTGTTGCACACGGGGGGGAAAGAGCCCGCCAGGTGGGGGGGACGACACCACCTGTCCGGGGCCACCGTGGGTAGTGGTGTGGTAAAGTGCGGAACGACTGGTGGAGCACCTGGGGTGGGCCTTTGGCCGCCAATCCCAGTCCTCCAAAGTGAATGCCCAATCGGACAAAAAACGGCCCATTGTCCGGCGAGAACAGAGCCAAAGGGAACCGTGGGAGTGGATTATTTCAGCCGGCCCCGCACGGACTATGAAGCCCACGAACAAGCGTGGGAGTCTAAACGCAGTGTGGTGGTATAGGTGCACCTCAGCCCGAGAGGTGGCACAGGAGTATTAAGGTCTCAGCCTGTCACTGCGGTGAACCTAGTCCCCTCAGTGAAGGGACCACCCACGAAAGCGGCAGCCCGTGGGGGACCGCCGTCCGTGCGGTCTTTAATCCTCACCAATTGCATGCCTGTGCGCAGCAAATGGGCGGTTGAGGACCATAGGGCTGCCGACCCACTGGGCCCCGCATGGCACCGAGGGGTCCCATATGGCCCATAGGGTCAGCGCGATGGAGACCACTTTGTATAGGGAGGTGGAGGCTGTCCCCAGCTGCCCGAGGTCGTTGTTGTCCAGAAAGCAAGCGTTGCGCTCCGCGACGGGCTGAGTGGCAACTCGGAGTATTGACATGGCCGGGGGGGAAAACAGGTCTTGAGCCGCAGACGAGCTGCGCAAGCCACCCCGTGGGGATACGCGAAGCGCCAAGAATTACATATGTTGGGCCTCCCGGGGCTCTCTTGAGGGTGCTCTTGGGGCCCTCTTGGGCCGCCTTGGAAACCTTCTGGGCAATATTGAAGCCAGCATGGGTGTCTTGGAGCAACCGTGGAGCGACTCGGGACCCTCCTGGGCCGTCCTCGGGGCTTCGTGGGGCCCTCGTAGCCCTTACAGGGGCTGTGGGGGGCTCTCTCGAGCGGCTAGGAATGGGCACTGGGAGATCCTGGAAGGATAGTAGACCCAGATTAGGGGTTCGAGGTCCAAGCGTGTGGCCACCGATGTCCTTCCTCGGATAAATGTAAACAAGCACATAGATAGACATGCATAAGGGAGGGAGAAAGATCAAGCAGCCCTTACAAAAACATGTACAAGCACATGTTCGCATGCAGACATGCACATACGAAACTAGATGTACACGTTCATATGTGGAGATAAATGTGTGCGAATGCGTATGTATGTGAATGCGTATGAATGTGTGCTGATTCACACATGCATACAAAAAACATGTCCATGCGAGTATGCATATATGTACGTGTTTGTGCGTGTATGCATGCACACATGCATGTTTATATATATATATATATATAGATAGATAGATAGATAGATAGATGTGTGTAAATAGGCATGTATGTGCGTAGGTATGTGTGGATGTACTGGTGTATGCATGGATGCAAGTGTGCATGTATGAACGTGTGCCTGGTTGCTTGAGTATGCGTGTGTGTGCATGAATGCATGAGAATGTGTATGTATGTATGGAGGTGCGTACGCATGCTTGCTGATATGTATGTCTGCATGTATGTGTATGTGGATGTATATGTGTGTGAATGAATGTGTAGATGTATATACACATGTGTATGAGCATGTGTCTATGTATGTATGTATGGAGGTACGTCCGTATGCTTGATTGTATGTATTAATGCATGTATGTGTATGTGGATGTATATGTGTATGTATATGAATGTGTATATGTATATGCAAATGTGTATGAGCAAGTGTGTATGTATGTATGTACGTATGTGTACGTTTGCGTGTGTATAAATACGGTTGAATATATGTATACGTGTATGTCTATGTCTATGGATCTGTATGTGTATGCCTGCATGTGCATGTGCATGCTTATGTGTGTGTGTACATATATATATGTGTAAATATAAGTATCGCATGTACATGTATGTATAATCCGCCACCGTGCTGCCGGGCACAGAACGGGCATGCTCTCAAGTCCTTCCGCTACCCCTCTGAGCCTCAGTCGTCACTCCTGAGGAGTTCTTAAAGGGTTTGGGGCCTCTCGGGCCAAATCTTCCAGGGTGGCCCGCGTTGGCCCGCGGTTCCCCCGCGTCTTGTCGCATTACTGTTTCAGACCCCAGAAGGCACCAAGAAGGGCCAAGCGGGCCCCAAGAAGCCCCCAAGACAGTCCAAGGAGGCCCCGAGTCGCCGAACGATCGCTCCAAGACGCTCAAGATGGCCATCAGACGGCCCAAGAGGCCTCCAAGGCTCGCAAAAATGCATCCAAATGGCCTCCCAAGAAGGCCCCAAGAAGCCAAAATCGTTGATTTTACAAAAGTGTTTAAAAAATTTCGGCGTTCTCGCCTGTTCGGTTTCCCAACGCTCTCAGACGGCCCTAGAGGCCCCCAAGACCACATCAAGACGTCCCAAGAGCCCCTAAGAGAGCCCCAAAACAGACCAAGCGGGCCCCAAGACAGCCCAAGAGGCCCCAAAGGGGGGAGCACGAACCGAAAATCCTAGCCTTCCGCCCCAAGAAGCCTCCAGGCCCCGAGTGGCGCCCAGGAGGCACCCGCGTCGCGGAGCGAGGCTCGCCTGCGCGTCTGCACCGGCACGCCCACCGCGGCTCACATGTGGGGGAAGGCAGGAGGCCAAATGCGAACCCCACCCCGCCACCCCGCGGTTTCCAAGGGGGGAGGCGGGGCGCACGCAGCTCGGGACCTCCCGAGCGAAGTGAAGCCCCACCTCCCCCCTCCGAAACTGTGGGGTGGCGGGGTGGGGGGCGCGCATGTGGCCTCCTGGGGAAAGGGGTGGGTGGGTCAGCAGCAGCATCAACCGCTGCAGCAGGAGCATCGGGCACGCAGCTCGGGGGGGGGGGGGGCGAGAGGGCAAGGCAGCAAAGGGCAGGGCAGAGCATCAGCTCGCGCAGTTGGCTTCCCTGGCGCCGGGAGGCGCCCATGTGTCCAGGAGGGGGCCCGGCGGCGGGGCCGAGGCCAGCTGCATGCCTCAGATGTCGTCGACCGCCCCTTCCCTCTCCGCCCCTTTTGCCTTCGGCCCGAGCAGCGCAAGAGAATTCGGCGGACCGTCCTTCGGTGAGGTACTCCAGCTTGAACCCGTTGTCGACGCGCGAGATGCCGTACCTCGCAGTCTGCGAAGGAACGGCTGGCTGGCTTGAAGGAGGGTAAGTCGGCGGCGGCAAGTGGGTCCATGCTGCATCGACAAGTCACCTTCCCGGGAACCGTCCCCCCATACCCCTTCGCCTTACCTCCCCGTACACGCCCTCCCCCCCACACACACACACACTCATACACATACACATACACACACACACACACACACACACACGCACGCACGCACGCACGCACGCACGCACACACACACACGCGTTTTTGTTGGCGTCGCGGCCCTGCGGGCAGCGACATCAATTGTGAAGAAGTATCCAGCGGGCGCCGTTGTTGCTGAAAACTGGGAGAGAGGCAGAGTTTGGTGACCAATGACTCTCCCTGACACAAAAAAAACCGGTGCGAGCCCCGGGAGGAGCACTTTGATCAAAAAAACAATGGTCACCGGGGGGAATCAACAATACGATTCTTCAGAAATGAAGCAACAACAACAGCAACGACTTTGACGACGACGACGACGACGACGACGACGACGACGACAACAACAACAACAACAACAACAACAACAACAACAACAACAACAACAACAACAACAACATCAACATCAATATCAACATCAGCAACAACAATCATGTATAGACTGTTCGCCCTTATCTGCTCGAGTGTCCAATAACGCGTATTTCCCAAACCCTCGATACCCGCCCTCTTCGTCTTCGATCGAACCCCTTTTGGGGGGTATTCCTTTCTTCCGTGCAGGCCGGGCCCCGGCAGGCGGCGGGGGCGCCGCGGACCGTCGGCCTCGCCAGCGGCAGCGCTGATCGGCGGGGCGGCCGCGGACCGTCGACCCGACCCCAAGAGGGACGGACAGGGGACCGACCGACGACGACGACGACGACGACGACGTCGACGACGACGACGACGGCGACGACGACGACGACGGCGACGACGACGACGACGAGCGAAAGCGAGAGCGAGAGAGAACGACAGCAGGGCCACGAAAGACACGAAGTAGGCCACGAAGGGCGACAGCGGGGACACGAAGGGAATGCGTATGGGGCCACGAAGAGCGCGAACGAGCGGGGGCCACGGAGGGCAGATAATGCGAGGCAACGATGGGGCCACTGAGGGTGGCAACTGGGCCACGTAGGACAGTGAGAGGGCCACAAACGGCGACAGCGCGGCCACGAAGGGCGTGCGCATGGGGCCACAACGGGCGCGAACGAGCGGGGGCCACGAAGGGCATACGTATGTTGGGCCGCGGAGGGCAAGGAGGGGGCCACTGAGGACAGCAACGGGACCACGAAGGGCAGCGAGGGGGCCACGAAGGGCGACAGCGGGGCCACGAAGGGCATGCATATGGGGCCACCACGGGCGCGAACGAGCGGGGGCCACGAAGGGCATACATATGTGGGGCCACGAAGAGTAGCGAGGGGGCCACGAAGGGCTGCAACGGGGCCACGAAAGGCTGCAACGAGGCCGCGAACGGCAGACAGGAGGCCACGAGGGGCTGCAACGGGGCCACGAAACAAAGCGAGGGCTACAACGGGGCCACGACACAAAGCGAGGGGGCCACGATCGAAGGGCAGCAACGGGGCCACGAAGGGCAGCGAGGAGGCCACGAGGGGCTGCAAAGGGGCCACGAAACAAAGCCAGGGGGCTACGAAGGGCTGCAACGGGGCCACGAAACAAAGCGAGGGAGCCACGAAGGACTGCAACGGGGCCACGACAGGCAGCGAGATCTCGATTCCTAGGTAATCTGTGAAGGAATCCTAAGCGTGAGCGCGACTCCTAGGTGCCTGGGTGTCGGGAGCGCGGCGCTGGAGTAAATTGCAAGAAATTCCAACGCAAGGGCGCTATTCGTCAGTGAATTGCAAGCAAATCTCCAGCGAGAGAGCACGACTCCAGAGCGCCGGGAGAGCGATTCCTGAATAAATTGTAAGAAAGTCCCAAGCGAGAGCGCGTGACCTAAATAAAATGCGAAAAAGTCTCGGGCGGGAGCGGGGGTCCTGAGTAAATTCGGAGGAAGTCTCAGGCGGGAGCCGTTGTTGTTATAACCCGGGGGCCAGGGGCCTAGTTTGAGTATCAAGACTTTCCCTGTCAAAAAAACAAGATGCGCTCGTCGAGGGGCACACTTCGATTGATATGCACCGGTGGAAGGGGGATCAACAATAATTATTCTTCAGAAATGAGAATTCAACAACAACAACAACAACAACAACAACAACAACAATTACTAGCACGTGGGGACACTCCGTTCTCACCAGTGCCAGGGTTTTCATAGGAGGCGGGCAATACCCCCACTTTGTGGGGGGGCCGGTTCAAGCTCTACCAAATTTCCAAACGACTCTTCGCCACCACCCACACCCAGCTTCCCGCCCTATGACGTTCGGACACTTCACTTCGTGGCATGCGGACGACCGTGGCTACTATTCAGGGCCCCGCGGCCGACGACGACGGCGTGCGCGCGCGAAGAAAAAACGAATGTGTCCCGCATGGTATTATTTGACAGGGATGATGGCCCTGGCAGGTGCGCAACCGTTGTTGCAGAAGTTCGAAAAAGTTGCTCGCAAAAGCCCGTTTGACAGAAATGTTTAAAAAGTGTTGGGTTTCCTACGAATCCGCAAGAGCGCGCGGGATGAAAGTTTGACAAGTTTTTGTTTTGAAAAACCATTGGTTTTTGATGTTTTTATGTTAAAATCGCTACGAAAACTAAGGTTTTGGAAGGATTTCGTCTTGCGCGCGCGAATGTCCACTTTACCTTATTTTTGCAAGGGATTCTTGAAGTTTGGTTATGTTAGAACAAGAAATGTCATTTTATATTGATTTTTGCAAGGGAAAGCGGGGGGGAACAGAACAACCGGATCTGGATCACATCGTTTTGTCAAGGGCTTTCGCTCGAAAATGATGAAAACAAGGCTGCGGCCTAGGCGCGGCGAGGGGGGCGTGCACCAGGGGTTCAACAACAACAACAACAACAACAAGGATAGAGACCTTCCTTGGCCCCCGGGGCTCGGGGCCGACTGGAGCTCTCCTCCATGGGGGGGCAGGGATCATCCCCAGACCCCAGGGGCACCAACATCCCCCCCAACAACAAACAACGACAGCAACAACAACAACAACAACAACAACAACAACCACAACAACAACAACCACAACAACAACAGCAACAGCAACAGCAACAGCATCAACAACAACAACAACAACAACAACAACAACAGCAACAACAACAACTACTACTACTACTATTACTACTACTACTACTACTTCTACTACTACTACTACTACTACTACTACAACCACAACCACAACCACAACCACAACCACAACAACAACAACAACAACAACAACAACAACAACAACAACAACAACAACAACAACAGCAACAGCAACAGCAGCAGCAACAACAACAACAACCAGGGAAATCAAAAACCTTCTCCCTCTATTACTACTCGCAGCGCATTTGCTCTGCTGACTTCCGAGTGCGGGCCAGCAAAGCGAGTATCCTATACAGAGCTTACACGGCTTCTACGGGATCCTATACAGAGCCCACACGGTTTGTATTGGATCCCAAATAAAGCGCACACGGCTTGAATGGGATCCAGAGCAGAGCGCACACGGCCTGTATAGGGGTCCATACGGTTCCAATGTGGTTCCAGTGGAATATATTCAACTCGAATCATACTTGAGCAGATCCCTGATCCAACTGGTTCCGATTAGATTCCTGTTGAAACTGAAGTACAATCTCAATAAAATAGGGCAGATCACAGATCCTGTCTATTATGATTGCCTTCTTATTGGAATCTAGTTTGAGTCGGATTAGACTTGAACAGATCCCACATCCAGCTGACTCCAATTGCGTTCCCACAGCAATCTCATTGAAATCTTATTAGACTGGGGCAGATCCCAGATCCAGCTAATTCCGGTTGCGACCCTATTGGAATCGAATTAGATTCTGACTTGAATTGAGCAGATCCCGGATCCAGCTGGTTCGAATTAGCTTGTTGGGGAAATCGAATTGAAATCGAATTGAACTTGAGCAGACCCCAGATCCAGCTGATGCCAACTTGGGACCTAGTAGAGTTCAATTCGAATATGCATAAGGTGAGCAGATCACAGATCCAGCTGATTTGAATTGTGTTTGATTGGAAACGAATTTGAATCAATAAAGAACTGCGCAGATCCCAGATCTGGCTGATTCGAACTGGGTTCCTAATTATTGGAATCGAATTAGAATCTAAGTACAACTGATCAAATGTTATTTCCATGTGATTCAAATTGCATTCCTATTGGAAAATAAGCATCCACATATCCAGCTGAATCCAATTGAATTCATATTGGAACCGACTTAAAATCCGCCGACCCTGTGTCGGCGTGTGGAAGAAGCTTTTCGCTCTGTCCCCTCTGAGGCTGTCCTGAATGCGCCCTCTTCGTCGTCGTCGTCGCTCCTTGCCCTTTCCCAGGCCTCCCCTTCAAATGGCGAAACAAAAGGAAATTGAGCAATGTCGTAATCACGAAATTGAGCCACGTCGTGATTGAGTCGACGGGAAGCCCCTTCCCTTTCATCCCTTCCCCGCCAGAGGGGGGGTCCTGGAGAGGGGTCCTGGGGTCCCGGGTCAGATACGACGCCCCCCCCCCCTCCCGGGAATCCCGCGGCCCACCACAGCCCCAGGACGAGCCAAAAATGTTCCAAAAGACCCTCACGAGACCACGTCCTTTCTCCGTCAACATCTGCGGGCACCACTACCACCCCCGAGTCTCCCCCCCCCTCACAAGTAACCCCCCTCCATTCCCCCCCCCCTCCCCTGAACCCATGCCTCCACCTCCTCCTCACCATCCTCCTCACCCTCCTCCTCCTCATGCGGCTCCTCCCCGTGCTCGTCCTACTTCTCCTCCTTCTACCTCGTCGTGGTCAGCGTCCTCATTCTCAGGGTCGGCGGCACCGGCCGTAAGGCCTTCGCAATCTAATCAGACTAAGAAATCCCAGACCCAGCTGATTTCAGTTGGATCCCTATTGAAACCAAATTAGAATTCACTTAAGTGAGCAAATCCCAGATCCAGCTGATTCTTTCTGGAAAGTAACTGACATCGAGTTAGCATTGAGCAGATCCCAGATCCAGCTGAGTCCAATGAGTTCATAATGGGATCCAATTAAACCTGATTAGAATTGAGCGGATCACAGATGCAGCTGCTTCCAATCAACTTCACAGTGGAATCGAATGAAAATCGAATTAGAATTGAGTGGATCACAGATCCACCTGCTTCCACGTGGATTCCTATTAGAACTGACTAAAATCTCATTTCGAACTGAGCAGACCCCATGCCCAGCTGATTCCTGTGGGATTATACTATCTGGTTCTAATTACATTTTAAAATTTAGCAGATCCCAGATCCAGCTGATTGCAATTCAATTCACATTGGCATCTAACTTCAAATCCGATTAGGATTGAGCAGATCCCAGACTCACCTAATCCTGGTGGAATTTACTTGAGTCTACACTGAGCAGATCTCATATCCAGCTGATTCAAGGTGGAATTCCACTGTATCCAATTAAATCAAATTAGAATTGAGCAGACCCCAGGTCCAGCTGCTTACACCTGAACTCCGATTGAAATCTGACTGATTCTCCTTTCTAAAAGAGTAGTAGGATCCACCCCCACCCCCCCTCCCAAGTAATTTACCGCCCCCCACTTTCGCACTGTAAATGACATATGATTATGGCCCACCGTCCATCCGAACTATGAATTCATACCATCCCAGGCAGGCTGTATCCGCACGCCCCCACCCCGCATCCTTTGGAACAAATACTATGCGCGCACACTCGCTTATGAAAAAAACATACGTTTTCAAGCATCCATTGGAAAAACAGAACGAAGTGAACACGCGCGCGCCGTCGTGCGCGCATGCCAAAACCAGTCAGAAACCTTTGGGCTCGCATGGAGTTCAAAATCGAGCGCCCCGAAAGCATGTAAAAACATATGGTCTCGCAGCAAGAACTTCCAAAACAAACAACAATAACCTCATCCATAACTACAACTACTACTACTACTACTACTACTACTACTACTACTACTACTACTACTACTACTACTACTACATCATCATCATCCTCCTCAATATCATCATCATCAGCAGCAGCAGCAGCAGCCTCAGCATCAGCATCAGCATCATCATCAGTATGATCATCATCATCATCCTCATCATCATCATCATCATCATCATCATCATCATCATCATCATCATCATCATCATCATCATTATCATCATCAACAGCAGCAACAACAACAACAACAACAACAACAACAACAACAACAACAACAACAACCACAACCTTGCGCCCGCGCTCATGCGAATTCTAATTCTGGTGTCGGTCGCGACCGATGTGCTTCAAAATCGTGGTCGTGAGCGATCGGTCTCGACCGATTTGGAGTGCCGATCGATCGCTACGGATCGCGCCCGAAAGAAATCTGGCATCAAATGATCTGGGTCGTGGGCGCCCAGGCCTCTCGACCTCTTCCCGGGTCGGACCAGCTCTTCATCCTGATCCGTTTTTTGACGGTCCCGGGACGGGAGACAGTCCCCAGAGGCCGAAACCATACAAAACCCGGCAGTCGTAATCCTGCACGACGCCAGGAACAAGGAACAAGGGTTCCTCCCTCCTCCCTCCCCACGCAGACCCCCGACATCATGATTTCTTCACAACGTCGACCCACACAGGTCTCTCCCCATTCCCCGGGACAGGGTCTTCATCCTGGGTTCGGCTGCGAGCGAGGGGGGGGGGGGAGCGAGAAGAGGCGATCCTTCCCAGAAGGCTCGGAAGTCTCCCGGCCTTCCGAGAAGCTCTCTGAGCCTTCCCGGAAGACACGAAAAACCCGTCAGAAAGCGCGAGGGCTTCTGAGAAGTCCCGCCGCCTTCTGAGAGGGCCTTCTCCTCCTCCCCTCCCCCCCTCGCTCGCCGCCAGTGCGTCGTGCCTCGACGGCTCCGGGGCCCGGCGAGAGAGCAGCCGGAGGCTGCGGATGGCAGGAGACAAACCTCCCGTCGTGCTCTCTTCGCGCCGCGAGGCGGCCTGGGCACGCCGGCGGTTCGAGAGCAGCTCACGGAAAACGTGGGTCGTCCCCACGGCGCCCAGCAGCGCGCCCAGCCGCGCGCCCAGCCGCGCGCACAGCAGGCACGATGCATCTCCCTCACATAGAGCTCATTACTGGGCGCTGTCGGTCGCTACTGGGCGCTAATTGAACGCTATCCAGCGCTACTGGGCGTTACTGAGCGCTACTGGGCGCTTTTAGGCGCCACCGAGCGCTGTTGGGCGCTATTCGCCAGTATACACTGAATCCGAGACAAGCGAAGGAAGACAATAATTTACGATTCCAAGTGAAGGGACAGAGAGATACCGATACTCCCCAGACCTCTCCCAGGGTGTGCTCTGACCACAATGTCGAGACGGATCCAGTCGTGGCAACGAGGCCTTCCCAGGAGGCACCAAAGTGCGAAAACGAGGCAGAGGCCAGCGGTGATCGGAGGCGAGCGAGGGGGGGAAGTGAGAAGGAGAAGGCTTTCTCAGAAGGCTCGAAGTCCCCCGGCCTTCTGAGAAGTATTCTCGGCCTTCCCCGAGGACCCAAAACAGAACTCCTCGGAAGGCGCGGAGGGCCTCTGAGACGTCCCGCCGCCTTCTGAGAAGGCCATGTCCTTCTCTAGGGGGCCACATGCGAACCCTACCCCTACCCCCCACGATTTCTGATGGGGAGGGTGGGGTTCACTTCGCTTGGGAGCTCCCGAACGAAGTGAACCCCACCCTCGCCCTCAGAAATCGTGGGGGGTAGGGGTAGGGTTCGCATGTGGCCCCCTATTCTCGTTTCCCCCCCTCGCTCGCCGTCGAGCTGAGATCGGGCACGTGTTCTTGTAGCCGTCCTTGGTCAGCCCCTCGACGGCGCAGTTCTTGGCGCAGGCCGCGGGGTCGGGGCACAGCTCCTCGGAGAGGGCACGACCGCGCGGGCCCACGGGCGAGGCCGCGGGGCCGCCGGGGCGCGACGCGGGCCACGGGGGCGCGAGGGGAGGCAGAGGCCAGAGGCATGGGATGCAGAAGGAGGAAAAGGAGGAAAAGGAGGAGGAGGAGGAGGAAAAGGAGGAAAAGGAGGAGGAGGAGGAGGAAAAGGAGGAAAAGGAGGAGGAGGAAAAGGAGGAAAAGGAGGAGGAGGAGGAGGAGGAGGAGGGAGGATAAGGAGGAAGAGGAGGAGGAGGAGGAGGAGGAGGAGGAGGAGGAGGAGGAGGAGGGGGAGGAGGGGGAGGAGGGGGAGGAGGCGTGCGTCCGACCCGAACATGTAGTTTGACCACCTTGCAGCAGGTCGTTTCCCGAGCGGGAATGGCCAGAGAGTGCCCGCCGCGGGGCGGCAGCCTCCCCAGAAGCAGCGGCTGCGCTCGGGGGTTCGCCCTTGCACTCTTACATGGAAGTAGGGGGGGGAGTCGTCGGCCCGACCGCTGCGGGCTCGCCGTCGCCGCCCCGCCGCCGCCTCAGCGCCACCCGTCGTCCGGGGGGAAGCGTCGTCCCGGCGGCGCCGTGCGCGCCGCCGCCGCCTCCCCTGGGCCGCGCCGTCGCCGCCCGCAGCAGGTCCCGCCCGGGAGGCCCCCGAGGGGCGGGCCGGCCAACGGCCTCCGACGATCCTCGGTGCGTCGACGATCCTCGTCCCCGGCAGTCTAGAAGATCAAGCGGCCTAGACATATCGGCTTTTGGCGCTCCGCGCGGAGTTCTTGGATCCGCCGCGCTGGGCGGGCGTATGCCGTCGCTTCCTCTTCGACAGTCCTCACGGGGACCGCAGAAGCAGGCCCCCCCCGGGGAGGCTCCAAGATGGGCGACGAAGAGAAGCCCGAGCAAGCCCAAGTCCGAAGTGATGAAAGAACAACACGCACATAAACCTATTGGTCGGCGGTGGACAAACCTCCCTTTAGTAAACCTCCCTTTAGTGAAAACGGCCTAGGACCGAAACCGACGGACCTGGAACCGCAAGAATGACGGCCGCGACGCCCTCTCGCGAACCGAAAATGGCCAATTCGCTGATCGACGTGTCAGGGTAGGAGGTCTGTCCACCCCCGTATTGGGAGGAGGAATGAGACAGGGCAAGGAGATGAGGGCGCTACAGGCATGGGTGCAGGCGTCGGACTCCGAGGCGGGGCTCCCGTTCGAGCGGGGCCCCCAATCCAGCAACACATACCCATGGCCCTTCCAGAAGCCCACCCCGACGGATCTGCGGGTCGTGCAGGTACGGGCGCGAATTGTCAGCTCATGACCAAGAGACCGCGGTACTCCCTGCCAAGCTCCCACTCCGCCTCGCGCCCACAACCAAATACACGGTAGGCGGGCGTACCGAAGGTCACTAGCCTCTTGACAACGTGACGAGGCCACGGGACAGAGCAACTATCTGACATCCGCCCATCACGTGTTTCTGGCCGTCCGACGAATGCTGGCACAGTCTCCGAGGCGAACAAGCACGATAGCTTCGAGGTTGATCGCGATGGCGAGATGGAACGTCGCCTGGAACATGCATGCGTGTTAGAAATGGCGTGTCTATCGCAGCATGATCGCTCATATCTCAGAGAGCTGCTGGAGGATCATCGCGACCACAATTGCCAGAACGCAAAACCCACCAGCCCAAACGACCTGTTGGCTGAGTCCACTATGCGAAAGTGACAACGATGACCGGCTTGCGGCCGTAAGCGATGCTTGCAACGCTGGACGGGCCTCCTTGCTTGCAATTGCTGCTTGGGCCCTGGCAGGATCTTCATAGAGCAGCACCTTTGGCTGGAGTTCCAGGCGCGCACATTCATGCGCCACTGCCTCCCAAGACGGGAGCTCACGCCGGGCATCACGCGTCAGCCCAGGCAGGTCGTTGAAGAACATCCACGAATTCGTGTTCGACTGGCGGCGGCAGAACACAACGTAATGGGAGAACCGCGCCTGGTAACAAATGACGGACACGAGCCCGTGACCAGTGCCGAGATCTGCGCCAGGCTCTCCCTGCCTCCGGCTCCGAGAGACGAGGCCACGGCAAAGTCCGGCACCGTGCCTGCGGCACGCTGAGACTCGTGGAAGAATGCCGAGGGCCGCCCAGCAGGTCTTCTTCTGTCGGCTTCTAAAGGGAGCCCCCTACCCGCTCCAGGAGCACCCACCCGACTGCATCGCGCCTGTTGCCCGGGGGTCCCTGGGCGGCCATGGCGCCTCCCTGGGACTCTCCCAAGCTTTCCATGGCGGCCCAAGAAGCCCACCGAGGCCACCCAAGAGACCTCCAGGACAGACCAAGAACGCTTCGAAGTGACCCCAAGAAGCATCCCTGAGAACTCTGACCCGCAACCCAGGCACGGTGGCGGGATGGGGCGAAGGCAAGTATATCCGCCGCCCCCTGTGGTCTTGCCACAAGGGTGCCTGGCGTGCCAGGTCCTGCTGGCTTAGCTTTGGTTCTTGTGCTTAAGAACTCCCACTGGGGCTCCGGTCCAGCGCGCCGGCCACCCGGACTGGCCCGCCCGCTGCGCCACCAGCGTCTCCAAAAACGGCCGTTTTGCTGGGGATATTCCAAAAAAAACGCGAAGTTGGGGATCCTGGCCCAAGACGCCTTACGATAGGACTGAGCGCTTCGCGCGAGGCATCGTCGAAACAAGGCCATGTCGAAATCGATGGCCTCGTCCTCGGATCTTCCACCATGACCATTTCGCTGCAGGCATCCTCACCCAAAACGCAGTGCGGTTTCTGAAGGACTCGGGCATGTGGCTCTTTCCGGCCCTCCGACGGCCTGGGACGCTCCAAGAGCACCCAAAGAGCGCCCCAAGACCGCCCAAGACGGCCTCCAGGATGGCCCCAGAAAGGCCCAAGAGGGCCCCAAGACGGCCCCAAGAGGGCCCCCAAGACGGCTTCCGACGGCGTCAGACGGGCCAGGAGGCCACCAAGACGGCCCGGTATGGCTCCCAGGTGACCCAAGACGGCCCAAGCGGCCCCCGCGAGGCCTCCAAGACGGCCCAAGAGGCCTCCACGAGGGCACCCAGGAAGGCCCGCAGATGCCAAAATCATTGATTGTTCATAGGTTATTGAAGGATGTTAGCAGTTGCTTCTTGTCGGCCCTCCCACGGCCCGAGATGGCCCAAGAGCCCCCAAAGATCGCCCCAAAATCGCCCAAGAGGCCTCCTAGATGGTCCAGAACGACCCAAGAGGCCTCCAAGACGGCCCCAAGGAGGCCCAAGACGGCCCAAGAGACCTCCAAGACGCCCAAGATGGCCACCCAGACGGCCCTGGACTACCCCAAGAGGGCCCCAAGTCGACCCAAAGATGCCCTCAAGACGGCTTCCGACGGCGTCAGACGGGCCAGGAGGCCACCAAGACGGCCCAAGATGGCTCCCAGGTGGCCCAAGACGGCCCCCGCGAGGCGTCCAAGACGGCCCAAGAGGCCTCCACGAGGGCCTCCAGGAAGGCCCGCAGAGGCCAA